TCTACATAGATGGGATGATAATAATATATACTAAAGAATCCTAGTTATGCAATGGTTAAGTGCTTAGCTGCTAACTGGAAGGTGGGTGGTTGGAACCCACCAGCCGCTCCATAGGAGGAAGATGTGGTGGTCTACTTCTGTAAGGATTTACAGCCTTGGAAACCCTGTGGGACAAATGAGTCAGAATCTTCTTTATGGCAATGGGTTTGGTATATCTGTTATGATGATTATAGGAGTTAATAATTGTAAACACTTAGAACAATACCTGGCATATAGTAAATGCTATACAAGTATTAGTTAAATAAAATAGAACTAAATAAAAATGTCTATTAAAGGGACTTTTTTATAAAGGTGACCTTATACTCCATAAAAATATAAAATGAAAACTTATCAACAATTCTATTTAACTCCAGTTCAAAGGAGAGTTTAAAGAGCAACACAAATATAGGCAATAAGGCATGCTGAAATAAATTTACAAATACAAATGCATGCAAATTATCCACAGGACAATAATCAGTTGCATTCTTGGGAACATAATTAATTTACATTTCTGTGGACAGGAATCGTTTGCATTTTTATCAGTTTTCTACAACTTTGTTGTTGTCCTTCCCTGTCCTTGAGTTGGTCTGGACTCATGGTAGGCCTCGTGCTCAACAGAATGAAACACTGCCTGGTGCTGAGCCATCCCCATGATCCATTGTAAATCGGATCATTGCAATCCATAGGGTTTTCATTTGCAGATTTTCAGAAGTAGATTGCCAAGCCTTTATTCCTAGTCTGTCTTAGTCTCAAAGTTCTGCTGAAACCTGTTCAGCATCATAGCAACACGCAAGCCTCAACTGACAGATGAGTGGTGTCTACACATGAGACACATTGGCCAGGAATTGAATCGGGTCTCTGCATGGAAGGCGAGAATTCTACCAATGATAGAAGTGTAAAATACCTAAAAGACAGTGAAAGGTAGAGATAAGCCTGATGGGTGAAGTAGATAGGACACCCATTAATCTTTTTCGTTTTTTTACCATTTCAAAGTCATTCACAGTTTTCATCTGACATGTCAAACTATTACTGAGGACTTATAAAACCAGTGCAAAGCTAATAACAAATATTAGTCTCAGAACAGGAAGCAGAAGAAATTTTTTTTCAAATACTACTTTTGAATGTCACATTATATTAATAATATACAACCTGGAAAAGCAATACCAGCATGTGTGCACACTGACAGACATTTCAACTTACAGTTAAATAAACCCATGATGTAAAAAGTGTCAGTTGATGCTTTGTATACATGTAGAGTGTCTATGAGAGAGAAATGCTTGACAATTTTTTGTCCTGTTTATCACTGAAAACTCAGGATATGGAAAAAAGATACACTGGGATCAGTGCCCATACAGCACAACTGTATGAAAAGGAAGGAAGTGCTTTGATATGCAAATGAAAGAGGTGGTCTCTGAGTGATAATTTACATTGTTGTATTCACAGAGAACAGTTAGTGGTAAAAAAAGCATGCCATCTGGTCCTAATTTGTTGTTGAAGGGAATAGTGATAATTATTAATACTATCAAATTGCAGCCTTTTTTGGCATACTGTGTGAGGAGTTGAGCAGCAAGTATGAATTTGGCTATTGAGGACAAAGGATGCCCATATGAGTTTTTAAAATGAGGGATAAACAGTTGCCATTGAGTCAGTTCCAGCTCATGGTGGCCCCATGTGTGTCAGAGTAGAATTGTGCCCCGTAGGGTTTTCAGTGGCTGATTTTTGATTTTTCAGAAGTAGATCTCCAAGCTTTTCTTCTCAGGTGCTTCTGAGTAGACTCAGCCAAACTTTCGATTAGCAGCCAATTGTGTTAACCATTTGCCCCACAATGAGGAATAAAGAGATAAAAATATTTCTTCATGATGATGATAATTTCAGTGAAAACCATTCTGAGTAACTAACTTGAATGACATGTCACAGCATTATATTTATTCAATATGTTGAATTGCTTGAAACTTCGTTTTAGGCTCAAAATATCTCATTTTTAAAATCTGTAGATGAGAGATTAGGATTTCTTTTAAGAAAAATGAACTGTGGTATAAATGGTTTAACTTTGATGTTTTCCAGTACCTTTTTTTCATATTTTAGAGAAATTTTATTTTATTTATTTTTATTTTAGTTTTTTAAAATTGTGCTTTAGGTGAAAGTTTACAGCTCAAGTTAATATTGCATACAAAAATTTATACACATATTGTTATGTAACACTAGTTGCAATCCCTATAATGTGACAGCACACTCCCCCTTTGCATCCTGGATTTCTTGTGTCCATTCAATCAGTTCCTGTCCCTTCCTGCCTTCTCATCCTGCCTCCAGACAGGATATTATAACATTTTAAAAAACCATGTCAATACCAATACAGTATCATATGCATAATACTTTATAAGAAAATCAAAGAAATACTTTTTAGCACTAAATACAACTAGAGAATGGATTAGGAATCCATTTACTCTGTCTCCGGATTTGTAACAATCAACCTTTTTGCTTTCGTTTGTGGTCTGCTTGTCAATGTAGTACCTAATGGAATCCTGAAACTTATTTTCAGTGAGAACTCCTTTATAATTTCTAGGTTCACAGTAGTCCAAATGTCTAGAATTTTCTGACAAAGCCACCAAATACTTGTTGTCATCCAATAACCATTAATTGGGTATCAAGACTTAAACTAGTTTGGTAAAAATAGTAGAATAGAAGTGGATTGGATGTGGAATGCCAGGCCCTGTTGTGGCTCAAAGTCTGTCACTGAACCAGTGTTGACAGCTTGGTAAGAGTACAAAGAAAATTCTATCACTTTCTCTGTTAGGGAATAATAATAACAGCAACAACAATAACAATAATATGCTGATTTAAAAACTTGAAATCATAAAATATTTTTTAAAATTCTTAACCATTGCGGTCCATGTGTGCTGAATATGGATGCTGAAATAATCTTTGTAAATAAAAGTAGCACATGTTGATTGTTTCCAATGGGGCAAACATTATTCTAAGTGCAATGAAATCATGTTATCTATGAAGGAGCCCCTGTTTTACGGACTGAGGCTTAGAGAGAATAGATAACTTATACAAGGCCATCCACATGTTAATTGGCATTACCAGGATTTGAACTGAGACGATCTGGTAGTTAAGTCTGTGCTCTTAACAGAGAAAAACAGTCTAGGAATCCCAGAGGTGAGCAACTCACCTATTCATGCTTTTTATTTTAAGATCTTCTAAAGTCTATTTCTTTGACATTCAATTATCCCACATTATTCTCCTTCTTCTTCTCTTTCTCCTGTTTATTATTATTACCATCAGTGAGTATTTTAATTGGAATTCTTTAAGGAGAGAAGTGGTTGCTAAGAAGGGATGCTCTGGAGGCACAGAGAGGGTGGATCATTCTCATGGCCACAAATTATTTCTTTAATTTTGGCCAATTTTTTCTTTGGCTATTGGGGCCCAAAGACAACTTAGGTGACTTGTAACCTCTCATCTCTAATCCTCCCGATACCCTAAAATTACATGCTCATCTGAGAGTGTTTTAATGAATTAATAGCATTATCTTCCTCCATAAAAGATTGCACAGCTCATATATGCTTTGTCATGGATTGAATTATGTCCCCCAAAAAATGTGTGTATCAATTTGGCTGGGTCATGATTCCCAGAATTGTGTGGTTGGCCTCCATTTTGTGATTGTAATTTTATGTTAAAGAGGATTAGGGTGGGATTGTAACACCACCCTTACCCAGGTTACATCCCTGATCCAATGTAAAGGGAGTTTCCCTGGGGTGTGGCCTGCACCACCTTTTATCTCTCAAGAGATAAAAGGAAAGGGAAGCAAGCAGAGAGTTGGGGACCTCATACCATCAAGAAAGCTGTGCCAGGAGCAGAGCACGTCCTTTGGACCGGGGTCCCTGCACCAAGAAGCTCCTAGTCTGGGGGAACACTAAAGAGAAGAAGGCTGAGAGAGAGAAAGCCTTCCCCTGGAGCTGACACCCTGAATTTGGACTTTCAGCCTACTTTACTGTAAGGAAATAAACTTCTCTTTGTGAAAGCCATCCACTTGTGGTATTTCTGTTATGGCAGCACTAGATGACTAAGACATGCTTTAATAAGTTTGAGTTTATAAATCAGCTTTCCTAGAAGTATATTAAAATGCTTTTTACGTGTAACAATTTAATGTATTTTAAAACATTGATTTTCTACAGCTTTGTTTTATATGTTTAATATGTCTTAACATTACTATTTGTTAAAAATAAATGAAGATTCAAGTTTATAGTGTTGCTCTAAAACATTAAAAAAGATATCAGGTTTTATAACATAATGGTTTTAGTTTGTTTTAAATATACCAGTTTGCTGGCTGTTGTGTGCAGGGCAAAGCTATTTCTCTTTTAACCCTAGCAGTGCCCTCTAGAGTGAAAAGTTAATACAGTTTAATAAGAAAGGAGCAGTTTCACACATTCAGATATTCTCCTTGATCTGTCTCCTCCTGAGGGACAGCTTGTTACTTAGAAATAGCGAAGAACTGAACCTAATGTTTTTGTGCTCAAATATTCTTTTTAAGGATGCCTTTTAGGAACTGGAAAAAAATGGAAAAAAGCTAATTCATTGAAAAAGTCAACTCATTATGGTAGTTGCATGTCTTTTTCTTATCTCCTTGTAAAACTAGTGGTACATAATTTTGTTTTAACATGGATAATTTCATAATAGTAACAGATTTTGACTGTTTTGCTGGCCAATATTACATGTCTAAATTTATTGATGCCCATTATATGTGATACTACATTTGTATTGAGTAATGCAAAATAAATAGAGAATAAGCCACACATCTGATAATTACGTACTTATTTCCACTTAAGAATCAACTCGACGGCAATGGGTTTTTGTTTTTGTTTTTAATGTATCAGAATGTGACTCATATTGGCACTTGTACTAAAGTTGCCTTCATTAAATTACTTAAGAGTATTATTAATGTACATCCTTTTTTATTACAGAGGAGAATACTCAGGAAGCATCACAGGTGAAGAAAAGTTTGAGTGAAAAAGTTTCTCTTTATAGAGGTGACATCACATTGCTAGAGATAGACGCTATAGTCAATGCGGGTGAGTAGTTGATTTTTCTGTGATTTATTTGTTCTATGAGTATTTATTATTCCATTTCTTTTCCTAGATAGGAATGTAAGTATTTTACAAATTAAAAAAAAAAGTTTTTCGGTGTAGAAAAGTCTTATGTATTCCCCTTCTGATTTAAGAAACTGAAGATTTATTTTGTGTATGTACTGCAGTTAATGTCCTAACTCTACAGGTATCTAGGCTAATTTGAGACAAGGGTATTAGACCACTGGAAAAGTGACAGATTGTTGCAGAAGTCTTTAGAAAGACCTTTGGTACCTGTGTTATTGTTGGTTTCATGCTTTCATGGCCAAATATCATCAACACGTTCATCAAGCTTTTTCCTTCTTTTGAATAGGCTGTAAAGAGATGATTGAACAACACCAGATAAAAGTAAAATAGAAAGGAATTATTTCTGTGATTTCAAAACCTTAGTTGTTTGGTTTCATGTTTTTATTTTTGTTATGAAATCTTTCTTTCTAACAGGCATATTTTAATTATTATAATAATTAATTAGACAATAAGTAATTTTCCTATGTGAACACTGGAAAATATGATAACATGTTATTGATGGTGGTCTGTATCTCCTGTATATTTTATTATGTGGCTTTATGTCAAGAATGCATAATATTTCTGATTCTATGAAACTGAATGTCAATATTAAGAGAATATTTAATGGTTTTAATTTGTGTTTTGTAAAGTTAGGCTCTTTGTAGGTTGTGTCAATTAAAAACAAATCTGGATTTAGGTAAGGATCAGCTTTATGCAAAAAGATTACTACAATCACAGGAGGAAGATTGTTGCCATAAGGGGAAGGGGCGGGGCTAGAGAGAATCGGGTGTGGGAGATGGGATGAGTGCATAGCCAATGTGATTGGATTGTTGATCAGGGAATGTTTTTTCCTGAAGTCCTGGTTCTCAGGAGGGGCTGTTCAGGAGGTGGTGGTCAGTTGGTGCCCAAGGATGGGCCAAGGGACCTGACTAAAGTTTGGTCAAGTCAGGTTAATGGACATTTTGTCCAAATTAGTCACTAGGGACAAACAGTTCAGCTAATCATTTATAGGGCAAAGAATGGGAATTTGGAGAGACTGTGTCTGGACTTCATAGCTAAACAAATGGGGTCATCCATGAGTCTTATATGGAAAAGGGTGATTTTTAGCTGTAAGCTGTTTCTCAGAACACAGAATGGTGGGGGATTTCTTGGTTGTCACTGTACAGGGCTCAGATAATGTGCAACATTGTCACAAGAATAGGGATGTGTTCAGGGTCCCTCAGGTGATGAGTAAATTCACTCAGGATAGTAGGAACACACTTTGGTAGGTGAACGGAGGGTCTCATGGAAAACTGGAATGTTGTTCAGGATATAGCACAGTTCTGGGGACCTAGCAGCAGATCTGGAAGCCTGGTCAGCTTATCCTTTCCTCAGAATTGGGTATCAGTTGCTTTGTACTGTAGCTGCTTCGTCATAACCAGGGTTTGGTTTTTCTCTTTCTTTTCTTCTTCTGATGCCTCTGTACCTCTGTTCACCTCTGCTGCATCTGTTGTCTTGTCTAAAATAAACTTTTCATGAGAGAGGATCTATCTGGTCGTTTGATCTCCATCCTCTATGAATCACTCCTTTTGGATAGAATTCCACCCCTAGGCCACCTCATACGCTACAAGTCTCCCTTAAATCTAGTCTCTGTGGACCATTGATTATTAGCCCTAGGTAGATGTGTCCCTTTCTCTGATTTGTAGGGCCCTCCAAGAAGACATGTCCTTAGGAAGGGTCTAATGAACTCCTCTTCAGTACAGAATTTTAATTAGATATCATTGTGATTATTAAGTCACCCATTATTTATTATGCCCAATATTCTATAAACATGTAAGCTTTAATTTCAAACTTTAAAATAGGCTTATGTATACCACTAGCCTTCTTGTGTCTTCTTGTAATTTCTAGCCATTGATCCTAGCTCTGTCCTCGGGAGTACAACTGATGACATTTACTTCCTCTTCAAATACTTGAAGACCACTCTCATGAGTTTTACCTTTCTTGTTATTAACATAAAATTAAATTTGTCATGTTAACACACAATGTTAGCAGTAATAATGATCTTTCTTCTTTTTTAAAAATTGTATACCTGTTTATCTCCCCCTTTAAACCACAAACTGGTATCTTTTTCACTTTTTATGTCACCTCCCAAGGCAATGTCTTGCCCTTGTATTCCTACTGAACACTTGATGCTATATTATTTGTTAAGTTGAGCTAAATACAACTGAATTCATAACACCTCTGACCAATAGCACATTCAGCATTAAGAATTGGACACAGTGAACCGATTTTTCTCTAATGTTAAAAATTATTTATTTGATCAGTACATAAAAGTAATTTTTTCAATAATTTTTTCAAAAATAAAATAAAATGGTACTAAATATTTACACATGACTAACTATCCCATCACTATTTTGGTTCTTTCATATTTTATCTTTTCTTGCCTATGCATAATGTTTTCATAGCTGCTATCATAGTGTATAAGGTTATGACAAATTAATAGGAAGGCAGGCAGCAACTTTCACTCACTCCCAAAAACCATTTGGCACCTTTAGCTCAATATTCTGGCTGTGATGATTGTAATTTGGCCATTTTCTGCATCTCACAAAGACAGCCTCATCAGGAAGTTCATGGGTAGATGGAGAAGATATGTCAAATGTGCAGTGCAATGGCTCTGGTTCCAGCTTTCTGCTGTGCAGTTTGTTTGCCTGGTGTGTAGCAAGAGGAACAGCTGTTTACTTCTCAGGTGAACAAGGCAATGTAGCTGAAAACTCTAGCGCTGCCTCTAGCAAGGTGGGGTGAGAAACAGTGCCCCCTGTCAAGGTGCCAAAATACCTTGGGCAGTCAGTCATCACTTTCTATCAAACTTCTAAAGCTCTCTTTCCATGTCCACGGAGGTACATTGGAATACCTGACTTTAGTTTCTTGCTATAATTTATTCATTTTTACATAAAAACATGATACTTGTCCCTCTTTATACCACAAGTTTTAGAGTTCATATAATAAAATGATTTGATATTTTAAATTTCTTTCAGATGAAGAGCTTTTTTAAACTTATTTTACAAGTTTTTAACCAGTTGCTGTTGAGTCGATTTCGATTCATGTAAGCCCAATGAAGTGTCAAAGAGAAGAACTGAGCTCCCTAGGGTTTTCAGTGGCCGATTTTTTTTTAATTGTACTTTAGATGAAGGTTTACAGAGCGAACTAGTTTCTCATTAAACAATTAATACACATATTGTTTTGTGACACTGGTTGCAAACCCCACGACATGTCAACACTCTCCCCTTCTTAACCTTGAGTTCCCCATTACCAGTTTTCCTGTCCCCATCGTTGCCCCTGGGCTGATGTGCCCATTTAGTCTCCTTTTGTTTTATGGGCCTGTCTAATCTTTGGCTGAATGGTGAACCTCAGGAGTGAGTTCATTACTGATCTGTAAACCCTTACATACTCTCGGAGTTTCTCTAATCTCTGTCAGACCAGTAAGTCTGGTCTTTTTTTTTTTTTGTGAGTTAGCATTTTGTTCTACATTTTTCTCCAGCTCTGTCCTGGGCCCTCTATTGTGATCCTTGTCAGAGCAGTCAGTGGTGGTAGCTGGGCACCTTCTAGTTGTGTTGGACTCAGTCTGGTGGAGGCTGTGGTAGTTGTACTCTGCTAGTCCTTTGGACTAAACTTTCCCTTGTGTCTTTGGTTTTCTTCATTCTCCCTTGCTCCCAATGGGTTGAGACCAGTGGAGTATTGTAGATGGCCACTCACAAGCTTTTAAGACCCCAGACGCTACTCACCAAAGTAGAATGTGGAACATTTTCGTTATAAACTATATTATGCCAGTTGAGCTAGATGTTCCCCGAGACCATGGTCCCCACAGCCCTCAGACCAGTAATTTGGTCCCTTAGGGAGTTTGAATGTGTCTATGGAGCTTCCATGACCTTGCCTTGGACAAGCTGTGCTGGGTTCCCCAGTATTGTGTACTGTCTTACCCTTCACCAAAGTTACCACTTATCTATTGTCTATTTAGTGTTTTTCCTCCCCACCCATCCCCTCCCTCATAACCATCAAAGATTGCTTCTTTTTGTGTGTAAACCTTTTCATGAGTTTTTATAGTAGTGGTCTCATACAGTATTTGTGCTTTAGTGATTGACTTAACTTCACTCAGCATAGTGCCCTCCAGATTCATCCATGTTGTGAGATACTTTGCAGATTCATTATTGTTCTTTATCATTGTGTAGTATTCCATTGTGTGTATGTACCATAGTTTTTTTTATCCATTCATCTCTTGATGAGCACCTAGGTTTTTTCCATCTTTTTGCTATTGTTAACAATGCTGCAATGAACAAACATGGATGCGCATATGTCTATTCGTGTGACAGCTTTTATTTCTGTAGGATATATTCCTAGTAGTGGGATGGGTGGATCGTATGGTATTTCTATTTCTAGCTTTCTAAGGAAATGCCATATCGTTTTCCAAAATGGTTGTACCATTTTCATTCCCACCAGCAAAGCGTAAAAGCTCCAATCTCTGCCCAACCTCTCCAACATTTGTTATTTTCTGTTTTTTTTTTTTTTAAATTCGTGCTAGTAGTGTCGGGTGAGATGGTATCTCATTGTGGTTTTGATTTGCATTTCTCTAATGACTAGTGATTGTGAACATTTCTTCATGTATTTGGTAGCCACTTGAATGTCTTCTTTGGTGAATTACCTGTTTGCCCATTTTTTAATTGGATTATTTGTCTTTTTATTGCAAAGATGTTGGATTTTCCATGGCTGATTTTTTGCAAGTAGATAACTAGGCCTTTCTTCTGAGGTTCCTCTGGATGGACTAGAACCTCCAACCTTAAGTTAGCAGTCAAGTATTTAACCATTTGTACCACCCAAGGACTTGAACTTCTTTAAATATGACCCAGGATGAGCATCCTATACATTAATTTCTTCTCTGTAGGGAATTATGCATACGTTTGTATATT